CGTTTGTGTGTGCTCGAAAACTCCCATGACCACACGAAGCTAATGGGCAGACCTAACAAGAAAGTTACCACTAGGGTAACCGAAGATGACCCACTAGCGGTCGAAAGACCAAAGTCTCGAAAAAGATGCACCCCAAGACCCAAGCTCTTCAAAGACAAAGCGAAGCCGAAGAACAAAGACTCAAATAATTAGAAGAACAAGTGCTAAGAAAGCAAAAAGAACTTGAAGAATGTCACGCGAGAGTAAGAGAAAAGTCTCTCAAACAAAGAATAGAAAAAGCCAAAGCCACCCTTCATGAACTAAATGAACAACTTCAAAGCACCAGCCACGAAGTCATAAATTTAGAAGAACCAAATTCAACAATGAAAGCCTCTCAAGAAAAGAACTCCCAAAAGTCATTTATATCAATTGACACAAGCTCTCCTTTATTAATAAACTTGCAGGTAGCACAATGGCCTTTGGGGTACAAATTTAGCATGATACCAACTTTTGATGGCCAATCTGACCCAAGGTAATTTTTGATGAGTTTTGAAGCCACAGTAATTTCTGGAGGCGGCGATGAAACTACGTCGGCAAAATCTCTTGTCATGATAGTTAAAGGACCAGCACAACAATGGTACTCTTCGCTAAAAGCAAAATCCATACATTCAAGGGATCAACTTAAAACAAACTTGCTTGTTGACTTTCAAGGATTTCAACCAGCTGGCCTCAGAGACATAGATCTGTTCAATTGCAAGCATCAAATCAAAGAGCCCCTGAGTCAATATTTCAAAAGATTCATCCAAATCAAAGCACAAATCCCAAACATCCCAGATAAAGTGGTGATAATAACCGTAATTATAGGGCTTTGAGTAGGCCAATGCGCTTCTCATCTTGCTCGAGAAAAACCAAGTACAGTTGCTGAGCTTTACGAAGTCATTCAAAAATATTGCAAGTCAGATGACGACTATAGAAAAAGAATCGAAGAAGAAAACAACTCCAGGGCTCAAATCAAGCAAAGCAACAACTTCCATCCTCCAAGACCAAACAACTATGAGCGAAGACCATTTACACCACACAATCAAGTCAATCAAATTGAGAATGACAACAATTCAACAGCCGAAAGTGATTATGCTCACCAAAATTGATACAACCAGCGAAGTCAATTCAATGAAAGAACATTTGAAAGAGGAGGCTTTGGCACAAGAGGAAGAGGAGAAAGAGAAAGAGGAAGAACACCTTTAAAACCTGAAAGACATGTATTGCATTATTCATGGCAAATGGGCTGGACATACATCTAAAATGTGTCCTAAAGTAAAAAAAAAGGCATCGAAGAAGCCCAAAAAGAAAATAGGGCACCAAGCCAACCGAAAGTTGTCAATCATGTGAGGCAAGAACAACAAACCTCTCATCAAACTTATTACCCAATACATTATGGACATACCCAAGCACTACTTCCAGGGCCACCTCCCGCATACCGCTATGAACCCCTAGCAATGTATCATCTCATGCAAAATCAATGGAGGCAAAATCAATCTCAGCAATCCAATGTTCAATCAACACAACCTAAAACTTTAGTGGCAAACAACAACCCACAAAACAGCCAAGCCAAGCAAGAAAATAACTCCCCATCAATTTCAGCAGTGAACAATAATGCAATCATCCCAAGCAGAGGAAGAATACTAACAATCATGGGAGGAAATAGCATGGACCATGAAAATAATAGTCAAAGAAGAAATTACCTCCGAAGAGTAAATTCAATTTCAATGGAAGGCCCATACAAAAAAACAAGATGGTCCCATCTGCCAATCACATTTTTAGAAGAAGACCTTTAGTTGAAAGATTACCCACATATGGATGCTTTGGTAATCGAAGCAAACATTGATGGTTGGACAGTCTCAAAAATATTGATTGATGGAGGCAGCTGCACACATCTAGGGCAAGAGCCATGGCCGGAAAAGCATTCCGATAAGGATTTTATTGGCCTTCAGCACAAAGTGACAGCAAAGAAATAGTTAAATGTTGTCACAATTGTCAAATGTTTGTCAGCAAGATAAGAGCTCATCAACAAACTTACGAACAATAGAACCAACTTGGCCACTTGCAAGATGGGGAATTGACATAATTGGCAAATTTCCACCAGCTCAAGAAAAAATTCCAATATGCAGTTGTAGCAGTAGAATATTTTACAAAGTGGATTGAAGCCAAGCCAGTAACAAATATGTCTTCATACATAATGAAAAAAATTTCTATGGCGGAACATCATATGCCATTTTGGAGTTTCAAGACACATTACAGTAGACAATGGAATTCAATTTGACAGTCAAGATTTTAGAAATTATTGTCAGAATATGAGAATCCAATTATGTTTTGCCTTAGTCAGACACCCACAGTCAAATGGTGCAGTCGAAAGAGCAAATGGAATCATTTGCACTGGCATTTCAAAATGCCTAGTGGGGCTTCCCAAGGGAAAATGAGTCGACAAATTACCCAATCATTCGGGCACACAATACAACCATTTCGAGATCAACAAACTTCACACCATTCAAGCTATGATATGGAGAAGACGCAATGACACCTGAAGAAATAAAGTTTGAAGGTCCAAGAACCAATGTGCAAATCATGGAGGAAGAAGAGTAGATGACAAGCAAAGACCTCCTCGAAGAAGAAAGAATAAAAGCAATTCAAAATCTCGAGAAATATCATAAAGAAATAAAGAATTAGTATAACAAAAAATAAAGCCAAGGCAATTCTCACCGGGAGACTTTGTCCTAAAAAGAAAAAGAAACGAAGACACAGTCGGAAAAATTTTAGCAGAAATGGAAAGGCCCTTATCTCATCACAAGAACAAATAAGATGGGATCATTCCACTTGGCAGATATGATTTGAATCTAACATGACACGATTAGTTAGTTTAGAGATCTAGATGTATATTTTAAAAGTTTAGACATCTAAATAACATCCTAAATCAAGTTTGAAGATGGGGGTGTATTTTACTCCTGCCTATAGCTCCACATAGACACATGAGCCAGTGAGTGACGTGGCATAGGGCTGTACAATACGGGTCTTCGTTTGCTCCTACGATCTTGCCTGGAAAACTTGGTAGGCGGAAGCAAGGCCCGAGCAGAGTCGAAGACTCAAACTACCGAACGAACTGGCCCAGTTTTTTTTTTTTTGAGTGGAACGAATTGGCCCAGTTAGATGCCAGCGCTACAGGCCTATTATACATCCGAAGTAACGAACGCAGCAGACCCATTGGCCTACGGGGCCGAGCTCATAAGCTTACCTGGCCCATTCTGGCCACTCGGTAGGTTTTGCCAGTGTCTCTTTCTCATTCACAACAGAATAGAATGCAGGCGAATAGGGGAAGCTAAAGCGAAGTGCAAACCATCCTCCAGTAGGCGGCAATAAGAGAACATATCCCAGAATCGTTGCTATATCTGGGTCAGTAATCATTTGATATGCAATTCATGCTTTGCCGCAAGCCCGCAAAACACAGGGAAAAAAATCTGCATTCGCACAAAATATTTGACCGAACATAGACAGGAATGAAACTCAGTAGTTTCAGTAGTACGGAGTACATAATCATGGGAAGAAAGCTAATTACTTCATCACCTATTTTGCGTTATGCCATCGAGCCAAGGCCCAAGAGAGCCCGAAAGCACCTTTTCATTCTTTCATATACTAGGGTTTTACTTGGAAAAGGTTGTTCCATACTAATGGATTCGGGTCCATAACCACTAGTTCCAATGCACTAGATCTTGTAGCAAGGTGTTTACATAACTCATCCAGAAATTTCTTTACCCATTCAATTTCTAACGAATCAGGATATCCTCTCATTCCGGTATAAATAGTAACTACATACTCTTCCACTGGGAGAGGGTTTGATTGGGATTGTTTAAGCAATTCCTGTAATCGTCAACCCCTTGCCAATCAAAATGTAAGGGAGCTACATAATTCAGCTTCAGTGCAAATCCATGACATGTAATAAATGTATAGATCGGGATCATTCAGAAAAGATTTATGAATCAAGAAAATATAAGCATAAGCAAGCGCTCTCTGCATTGAATTATGAAATCAAGTTACAGAATTCATGCTATTCTATTTCACTCATGGGAAAAAAGACATGAATACAAAATGAACATTTATACAATGAACTATCCAATTTCAAAATTCAACCTACCCATATCTGCAATAAAATTAAGCAAATGACCAAAAGGATGTGATGACAAGTAGCAACCGAATATTAGAACTACTATGGGCAAATAACAGTACTTCATCTAAAAAACGATCGGCCAATTCAAAATAATCTCAACGATTCTGCATTTTGAACCTAGCGCTAGATTGAGACATTGAGTCACAAGGATAAAATTCAGCACTAACTTGTGCGTTTCCATGCCAACAAATCATAAAGGAACTGAAATAATCTTCTTACACAAATGATAAACAACCTGCGTTGTACAATGCCAAGAGAGCACCGAATATTCAGTAAGACTAGAGAAGCATGTCATGTAAGCCTAACACTTGTTACTCAGCCATCTAGGTTTTGCATTTCTGCTTAGCGCATCAGAATTAAGAACAGAGGTACTCACCTGCATCAATTCCTTGTTACAGTGCCCATGGTAAATGAATTGGAGGATACTTCTTCAAAACAATGGATTGAAGGATACTAATTCAAAATTAGTTCAGTTTCCATCATGCAGATAAATCCAGTTCTATGACAGGTGAAATCAAAAGGAACCATCACAAACGTTTTCAAACCGGATTCCCCATTAATTCACAAAGATGTCATAAACTGGCAACCATTTGTGCACATTTGTATGTAAACTGATAAAGAGTGGCACAAAGTACAGAACAATTGCAATGCTAGGCACAATCAAATAGAGGAGAGTTCGTAGGTGCATATGATTTCGGCTATCGTCTCACTGTCAACGCAACCAACAATTATCACAAGACGAACACTTGCATCATTCATCGCACTCAAACATCACAGATTTCGTAGCCATAAACCTGCCGCCGTCTCAAGGGAGCAGCCAAGCCAGAGGAGAGTTGTAGGAAGGAACCCGCTCCGGGAAGTAGAGGTCGACATGGGGAGGCGGTCCTTCCGATGACCACCTGCTGATGTCGCTGCAGGGGCATTGTATCTCGTTGACACCGCCGAACATCATCTCGTCGTCGTAGAAGCTCCTATCATCCAAGAAGAAGATGCCATCCTTGAACCCATCCTTAACCCACCTCGTAGGATCTGGAGCATCTCGCCCCACAAACAGCATCCGACCATCCAACGTGGGCAGCTCGCTCCAGGTCCAAGGGTACACATCAGCCTCCTCCTCGTTAGGTGTCATCCGGAACACCTTGAACGAGGAAGTATGGTGGGGAGCAAACCTGACGACTATCATCAGTTACCGTGGGATGCCACGAGGTAGCGAGCGCAGACGAACTGTTCGTCATTGCACCCCCTTCCTAGAAGGGGAATAGCCCCGATCCCTAGCCCCGATCCCTATCTCCATCCAAGATCGGACTGCACATGAGGATATCTCCACCTTGGGTGAGGAAATGAAAGGAGTGACGGTAGTACACGACGTCCTCCTGGGCACAACTGGCGCGGCGGGCACAACGTCGCAGACAGCCACCTCATGCCCTGGGCGCCGGAACGCGAAGTGGCGCCGGAACGGCGCGTCGAGGTCCGGCTAGTAGGTGACGATGCCCGCGGCGACGCATTCCTGGTGATGAGGCAGAACGAGAGGGTGGCGATGAGGACGACGATGCTGTGGATTTCGCCACCGGCGTCATCCACGAGCACGTCGGGTAGCTCGCGGGACTCTCCGGTGCGGATGTTGATTAGCCGATGCCCGCTGGTCTGGCCGTAGGCGAGGAAGAGCCAAGCGTCGTCATAGGAGCCGAAGTGGCGGGGCCTGGGGAACATTCTGTGGTTGCGGTAGCCGCTGAGGTAGCAGTAGACGCCAGTCGCGTCCGCGGGCGCGAGGAGGAGACGGGAGCCGAGGCGGCGGAAGCGGGGCCTGCACGACCGCCGTGAGCGACCAATGACAGACGGCGGCGGCCATGCGTGCGTGGTTGATCGCGCACGGGAGGCGGTTCACGATCTGGGTCACCATGTCGATGTGGAGGTTCGCCCACTGCCGAGGCACAGCCATGGAGGTGGGGAAGGCGACGCGACGAGGGATTGGGAGTTGGGGGGGCTTGGGACTCGGTGTGGTGGATGGTGGTTGGTGGAAGGCCAGAATAGAAGACGCCGAGAACTCCGGAATGGAAGCGTTGCGGTGCGGGGACCCCCTTTTGTTCAGGAAGAAGCCAGGGCAGAGCGCGCAGGAGAGCCGTTGCAAGATGTAGGGAAGCTCCGTTTTGACAATGGATCCGCTGGGAGAGTCTTTTGGGCTAGATTTATCTGGGTCGACTAGAATGCGATAAGCCCAAGTATATCTGAACTAGTCCATCAAGAGAAGCCCGGATACGTCCCAGGTAAAAGTTTGGCTCTGGGAAGACATCGAATCTTGCAGCCCTTTTTCAAAAGGAAATTATTTTCTTGGCCCAAAGAAAGTGTTGCTTAGTTTTTTTTTACGCAAAAATACGGTGAGGGAGGTCCCCACAGTGGATTTATATTAAACTTTTAAAGGGTTTACAAAGAGTTTACATAGTTTACAAACCTACATTAACTAAAAGCATAAGCCAAAAACAAAAGGATAACCTTACGTCAGCCTTGAACCTAACCGATTGAGTATAGCATTGGTTTTTGAAATTTGAAAGCCAAAGCGCTAAGGTAGGAACTTTCTGATGGAAAATCTTATCATTTCTCAGCTTCCAAAGCTCCCAAGCAGCTATGAGCGTGGCTTCCGCGAAGAAGGGTAGCCCCTGGATTTCTTTTTCTTTCACAAACCTATCTTGGAGAGGGATCGACGCATCCCAGCTGAAGTTGATGGTGGACCAGCACTGCTGTGCAAACGGACATGAGAAGAACAGGTGCTCGGTATCTTCATCTACCCCACCCGTGCACATAACACATAGCGTGTCATCCTGGACATTCAGATGCCTTCTTCTGATCATATCTTTCGTATTTAGGCGATCCACCAAAACTAACCAAGCAAAGAATTTGATCCGCGGCGTACGGCGCGACTTCCAGACCATTTGGTATATTGGGTGTGCTTCCACTGAACTGAAAACATGTGCATAAAATTTCCTCGATGAATATTTAGGACCCCACATCAGCTCCCATGAATCCGTTGCTTCCTCATCATATGGTATGGTCTGGAGATGGTCTTGAAAGATCTGGAACTCGTCATAGACTTGTGCCGATAATGGCAGGAAGAATAAGTCATCTAAGCTTGCTGTTCCCATGATATCATGGACTGATATTGTTTCATTTGTAGCAAATGCGAACAAACTTGGGAATTCGATGGACAGAACTGTGTCTGACCAAAGATCTTCCTAGAAGCAAACAGTTGAACCATCACCGACCGTGCACTTGGCTATACCTCGGTAGATGGTGTTTAGCCGCAGGACGTCGCGCCACCAGAATGACCCAACTTCTCTAGATGCATGGGGCACTTTGCCGGGGTAATATTTCTCCCAGATTAATTGGACCCAAGGCACATCCATTTTGTTATAAAATTTGTGAAGATGCTTCATGAGTAGAGCATCATTTTAGAGTCAATTTATCACTCCCAGCCCCCCTTTGTCTTTCGGCATCATCACTGGTGGCAAGCAACTAAGTTTCCCCCTTTTGTCGCCCGGATCACTGCCTCGCCATAGGCATTGTTTCCTTGCGCGATCAATGTTGTCGATGACTCCTTTCGGGATCTTGATCGTGCCAAGGGTATATGTGGTTATGGGGGTAACGGCCGAGTTTATCATCTCCAATCTCCTCGAGAAGGATAACCAGGTTGAGCAAGCTGAAAGTCTTCTCTCTATTCGGTCCATCATTGGTGACAGATCATCAATTCGAGGCTTCGTGGTGCCCATCGGGAGACCAAGATATGTGAACGGCATGGATCCAATTTGGCACCCAAATGTGCTTGCCAGAATTTGCATTTTACTTTGCTCGACATTGATCAGGATCATCTGTGATTTTCGATAATTAACCTTGAGCCCTGAAAATTCTTCGAAGCTATGTAACAAAGCCTTCAGGAAGAATAGTTGTGCGGCATCAACCTGCAATAACAGCAGCGTGTCGTCCGCGTACTGGACGATGGGGAAGTCACCATTGATTTGTGGAATTGGTGCCTTAAAAGATTTCTCTCTGCTGCTTTGTTGACAAGAAGTTGCAGTAGCTCAGCCGCCAGCACAAACATGAGAGGGGATAGCGGGTCGCCTACGTTTACAAAAAACTTTTCTGGCACCCCATTAAGTAGCACCGCTGATGACCCGGAGGAGAGGATACACTGAATCCACGCCAACCATCTATCAGGAAAACCCATGTGTTGCATCATCAAGATGATGGTCGAGTGCCCGATAGTGTCGAATGATTTCTCGAAATTCAGCTTCAAAATGATAGCTTCGCGACGCGAGTGAGTGTTACTTAGTTTCTTGCCCTTTTTTCTCTCAAACTTGCTTATTTGGCTCTAAAACGAACTTGCTATTTGCATGCGAAATTACTCTTTTACCTCTGGCAAATGCTTTCTCGAAATTTAGCTTCAAAATGATAGCTTCGCGACGCGAGTGAGTGTTACTTAGTTTCTTGGCCCTTTTTCTCTCAAACTTGCTTATTTGACTCTAAAACGAACTTGCTATTTGCATGCAAAATTACTCTTTTACCCCTGGCGCCGAATGCAACAGTTCAGCGACATATAGTTGCGCTGTATAGATCTTTTAGACTATCTACTATCAATAATTCTTACATAATAAGATACAATATTTTTTTAATCATGGAATCATTATTTTTTATATATATTTGCTTGGCAACACACTGACTATTTAAAATTAAAATCCATAGTTGCAATCCAAGTGCCCACACACTGTTGTTTTAGGCAACAATAATAAGAGGATGAATAGTGAGAGAGCGAATGAGAGAGAGGAAAGCAAAGAGCCGAGTGCTTAGCCTCTCTTCCTCTCCACATCCTCCTCTCATCCTTTTATAGGGAAGGTGGGAGAGGATGTTCTCTTCATGCCACTTAGTGGGATTTGTATTTTAGAAATGCTACTAAGAGCTACAAATGGACCTCTTAGGGGCTTGTATTTATAAAATGCCACTAAAGACTACAAATAGTCCCTACATATTATTTGGTGAGACCTAGGCTATATAATTGGGCCCTAAACATGAAAGTAGGGTCCCCAACATATGCCGCACCCCCCAACACATACACAATAATGACAAATCACTAGATGAAACATTAAGAAGATAGGTTGAAAAAATAATGATTGAATATTTGAAAAAAAAATATGAATTTAAAATAGTTAGTGTGATGTTGTCATATGGAAATATATGTAAAAAATAATGATTCGACAAAAATATTGTATCTTATTTTGGAAAAATTATTGATAGTAGGCAGCCTGAAAGACCTATACAGCGCAACTGTAGATCATTGAACTGTTGCTTTCGGCGTCAGGGGTAAAAGAGTAATTTCGTATGCAACTTAACACTGTTAGCCCATAAAACTAATAGAAGGGCCAATAAATCAAAAAAAATTCATTTTAGTGGCAAATAAGCAAGTTTGAGATAAAAAAGGCCAATGCCATGTTTGGATGCAAAGTATTTTTGAAGTATTGGAGAAATACTATGGTTTTACAAAATACTTTGGTTTTTAAAAGCTATTGGGTGTTTGGATGGAACAAATTTTATAGTTTGAAGTTTTAAAAACTTCACTTATGATCTCTTTTTCTAATTTCAGTTTTGTATCTCTTTGGCTTATAAAACTATAGTTTATGATATTACAGTTTTTGAAAACCCATAATCCAAACAAGTTGCAAGAAAGTAGCACTTTCTTAAGGGCCAAAGAAAAAAATTTCTCTTTTCCAGAGTCTCCGCCCGTGAAAGGCATACGTCCTGTTCGTTTGAACTTGTTTAGCTTATAAGCCATGGCTGAAAGTATTGTTGGCTATTTTGGTGTGAAGAAAAATATTATTCGTTGACTGATAAGCCATGCCTTATAAACCGAATACGACCAAGCGGCCGATAGGCAACGCCGCCAGAGCGTCAAACTCGAACCCTCTCGCGATTTTAGCACTCATCACAATCACAATTACAATTACAAACACCGCCGTAAGCCAGCTCTCTAGCGCTAATCGATGCTTGAGCTGTAAGTTTCTGAAACGCGCCCGGTCCCGCCTCTGCCATCCGGAAAACACGACACGACTCCAGCGCCGACTCCACGTCCCCCCTCGCCGCCGGGACACGTGTCCGCTGAGCACCGCTGCCCACTTTATTTAAGGCCCCGTTTGGCAGGGCTTCTCCACCAGTTTCAAGAGCCGTTTGGAGCCGTTTTCTGCCAAATGGGATAAAGTGAAATAGCTTTACTGGTGAAACCCCTAAAAACATGCTCTCACAATGATTTGGGGTGGGATGGAAAAAAAAAGTGGCTTCTCCCGGCTCCTCCTCCAGGCCCTTAAAAACATGCTCTCACAGGGAAGCCATTTTATCAAACGGTTTACCAAAACCGCTTCAACTCCACCGATGGAAACTGTTCGTGGAGTTGAAGAAGAAAAAAAAAAAGGCTCGCCATCGGCTTCCGTCCTCACACACAAGCTCGAGGGAACTAGCTAGAACACTTGATCGAATAAAAGGGTCTTTACATGTGCTTATTGCGGCCCGAGTCATGTGGGTTCTTTGCGTGTTTACCCACTCACCCTCGAGAACTTGACGTTGGCCATGATTCATGAACCACGGCGATCCAAGGAACACGTCCCGGCCGTCGGCCTTCACATTGACACGATCACACGATACTGCGAAGGTGGCCGCGGGCCCGCGGTGATGGCAAGTTGGATTGTGTTATGGCCCATTTACGGTCTGGTATCGATACGCTGGTAATCAGCAACTGCACGCTCTGGGCCTGTGGCCCAAATATGATACAAGGATCTGCGAAACCTTTCTTCTTGTGCTAATAAAAAGCCTAAAAAAACATTGCTCTTTTCTCGCGAAAAAAAAAATGTCTGCTAAAACGCCGTGTCCTCCCGCACAGACCGGTCGCGCGCCTACAGCTGAATGGTGACGCCCCTGGCTCCCATGCCTGACATCCGCTGGTCCGCCGACCCTTCCCTATCCATCATGCCACCGCCGCCGACCCTCGCCGCCAAGTCGTGCCTCGTGGCGTCGAACTTCTCGCCGTCACCCCAGAGCGCGTAGGCCTCCTCCCCGTGCGCGGCGTCGTCGCCGATCATGAGCTGGTCGTCGGGCATCCGCAGCGGCACCACCAGGCCGATGGCGAGCAGGATGAGCGACGTGACGGCCACGTTCCACGCCACCACAAAGGCGGCCCCCGCCAGCTGCTTCCCGACCTGCCGGGCCCCGCCGCCGTAGAACGCGCCGCGGAGGCCCGGCACCGGGGACTCGATCTCCAGCAGCTCCGGCGTGGCCAGCAGCCCCGTGAGGAGGCCGCCCAGCAGGCCCGCCACGGCGTGCGTGTGGAAGACGGCCAGCGTGTCGTCCACCCTCATCAGCAGCGCCGACTTCTTGTGCAGGATCATCATGGTGAACCACGGCACGCTCCCCGCGAATACGCCCATGAGCACCGCCGCCCATGTCTGCACCAGGCCTGCACACACACACATGCATGCACACGGAAATTTTACAGATTTCACAAAGCAATTTCCCCGGCGCCTAATCATGTCGCGCCTAATAAGGTAGTAGTAACACGGCGGCTAGTGAGGCGCGGCGCCGAGAACGTGGGTGGCTCTACAGATTTCGCTTTCGGTCGAGCCTGACATCGACATGCCCGCGATTGGCTGCCGGTTGCCCGTTTTCCACCGCCCTCTTTTGACTCTGCATTAGTTTTTCTGATCCGTTCTGATCGCTTGACGTTGAAATGAAACCTGGTCTAGGCATAATACAGGTACAGCCAAATGCCGGATGCTCCGACGACCCAGACGATTGATGAAGCCCAATCAGCAGAATGTCGTCTCGGCGCACGCGACGACGCGACCCGTGAAACATGAGTTTCTGGGATGTACGGAGAGGCAAAGGCCGTACGGGAGAGCTAGGATTAGGATGGTAGTAGGGGGGCAACCGGGCAACCAGTGGTTTACCTGCTCCTGGGGTGATGCAGACGAGCCCCGTCATCATGCCCTGCACGGCGCCGATCACGGACGGCTTGTTGAAGAAGATGACGTCGAGGCAGGTCCAGGTGAGGAGGCTGGTGGCGGCGGAGACGTTGGTGTTGAGCACGGCCACGGACGCCGCGATGTTGGCGGCGTAGGGCGCGCCGCCGTTGAAGCCGGCCCAGCCCATCCACAGCAGCCCGCCGCCCGCGATCATCAGCAGGATGTTGTTCGGGGAGAAGCGCTCCCGGTCGCTCTTCAGCCTCGGGCCCACCTGTCGGCAACACAAAAGCAAATGGAACAGCCATTTCCCATCAGCCAGTCCGGTCGCTCTTCCTTGCCGTTGCGTTGTTGCCATTGCAAGATGACACGACGATTGAGACTTGAGACACCAAGCGTCAACATCAGCAACTTGCGTCCAGTCGGCCATGGCCACGGCCATGGGAGGCCTACCGCCGGTCCGCGCCGTCCGTCCGTCGGCCTCATTAATTTCTTCCTAGATGACTTTGAACCTAGACACGCTGCTGATCGATGATTCTATTATTATTGTGATGAGTCTGTGACGCAGCGCGTGCATTCCCACAGACACAGTGGCGTCTCCGCGAGGAATCCACATTGCCTGCCCTGCTGTGTCAAATGAATACAGTACTGCGTCTATACAGTCCACACCTACCTAACACGTTACCCAAACCCGAGCCGCCGGAACAGTGACCTGACCTAGCCGCAGGCGGGCCGGGACAGAGTGACGTCACCATTCCGGTGACGACGTAGGGAACTGGGGATGGGAATTGGGGTGGATCACAACGAAAGTCAGAGGCGCACGTACGTACGTACCCAGTAGGCGGCGGTGAAGCCGGCGACGCCGGAGGAGAGGTGGATGACGTATCCGCCGGAGTAGTCGATGACGCCCCAGTGGTAGAGGAATCCGCCGCCCCAGAGGCTGAAGGCGCCGACGGTGTAGGAGAAGAGGAGCCAGAGCGGGGTGAAGGCCATCCAGGCCTTGATGTTCATGCGGCCCAGCACGGAGCCCGCCAGGAGCACGAGCGTGATGGCGGCGAACTCGAACTGGAACAGCACCAGCGTCGCCTCCGGGTAGAGGGGTTCGGTGCGGGGCGTGGCCCCGTGCGCGGTGGCCGGGAGCGAGGCGCGCCCGACGAGGTACCCCTGGGAGAGCGCTACGCCGGCCTTGCCCCAGAACGGGAGCAGCCGCTCCCCGAACGCCATGCGGAACCCCACCAGCACCCACACCAGCAGCGACGACGCGTAGGCGTAGAGCGCCATGAAGGCCGAGTTCACGGCCCACTTCTTCTTCACGATGCTGCCGTACAGCACCACCAGACCTGGCATGGACTGGATGCCCACCAGCGTCGCCGCCGTCAGCTGCCACGCGTTGTCGCCCTTGTTCAGCCAGTCCGGCACCGCCGGGAGCTGCGCCGCGTACGCGCCGCCCGACGCCGCCATCTCGCTCGCTCCGTGCAGGGCGGGACGGGACGGAGGAGACGCGAGCTCGGTTCGGTGGTGGCTAGCTGCTCTGCTATGCTAGTGCGCGCGCGCGCGTTTAATACGATGCGGCTACCGGCTAGTAGGACTTTATATGGGTGATTAACTGGTTCGTGGCTTCATGAACTGGCGCTTGATCTGCGATAAATTATGCAGGTTAATCGTGACAGGCATGAAGCGAGCGACCAATTGGATTGCGAGACGAAGAGAGACGACCCAGACAGGAAGGTCAACCCGGCAGCCACGAATGGCACGGGCGGTATGCGGCGCGTTGCGTACGGCGCTTTTCCATTCTTTCCTTTCTCCAGCTAGAGACACGCCTCCAGACTGTTCTGAAGGTGACAAGAACATAGTTGTTCCATTCCATATCACGACTTGAATTGTTTTGGTATATGGGATTTCTTTGTCATTTCTGTGCGTGTTAGTTGAGGAGATTCAAGTCGACGAATGAAACCTAAAACGGAAGGCACGCGGAGCATGGAAGGTAATGAAATGGGCTCATGGTCATGCGGCTGATGGAGTTTGCAGACTTCATACCTGCAATACGCACCTTCTCGGAATCTGCTGCTTCCTTGGGTATACTTGTCGAGTCGCTGTTGGCAATGGCTACACATACACGACGTCCAGACTATGGCCCCGTTCCGTTGACCCACACTTCTAGAATTGGGCAATAACTAGTGTACGGAATGCTAAAGCCGAAAAACCTACGCCGTTTCACGGAAATAGATTACACATGTCCGGGTTCATGTCAGTCAACTGACTAACTGCATTCTTATGGTCTTGTGGGCATGCAAGCCAAGATGGCCTAGTGAACTGAGTATAAGATTTTGTTGCGCTCGTATGAACTCAAGACATCCTCGACTCCTTCCGTATCTGTTGGCAGCTCTGCCTCTGCTCACCGTGTTGATCGCAAGGTCAGCGGCCTGCTTGAACCGGCTACACACTGGATGGTGGATGCCCTCAGAGCGCGACCATTTTTTTTTATCGTGTCCAGACTCCACCCCCCACGAGATGAGGAACGGAAATGTCGTCGGTAGGACGTCCATTTCGTTGGGACGCACGTCGGTGGACCTCGACGTCCACGGAACAGCCCAACAGCTAACACTATCATATCATCTGCACGGAAATAAAAATAAAAAAATCGTCGCTCTCACCTTCCTCTTGAATCGCCGTTGTGCCCGCATCCATATTCGAACCACTCTCCACGCCTGCATCGCCACGGCGTGCTCCACCGCGACCGCACCGCCGCGCCCGCATCGCAGCGGCGTGCTGCACCGCACCCAAGCGCCGTTGCCTGCCTTCCTATCTCCCCACCGCCACTGACCACTCGTCGCCGAGTTCTGCGAGCGACGTGGTGTGGTCCACAACGACTGCTCCAGCGCGGCGTTCTTTACTGCGCCTAGCCGCTTGCCTCCCGCCATCCTCCCTCTCCACTACACCCGAGCACCGCTTGCTGGCTACCGCAGTTTTCCACCAGGCAGGCAATGGCGGCTAGCGGTGCCATGTTTAAGTGTTTCTGGTGTTTCAGAAGTTATTTTCAAGTGTTTCATCTAAATATTGCGTATGTTATAATGGCTATATACGCATGTTGCAACTGTATGTTCAAGTGTTTAAGTTGTTTCACACATATATTTCAAGTGTTTATAACATGTTGCAAGCGTATGTTTCAAGTGTTTCATACGTATGTTGTAAGTGTTTTATTGCAAAACTGGATCTAGATGTTGCATGCGCTTGCAATGGCTAAGTGTTTTCAGATGTTTTGCAAGTGTTTCAGACATATGTTGCAAGTGTTTTAACTGTTTTGAACGTACGTTGCAAGTGGTTCATCTTGATGTTGTAAAAGTAGATCTGATGTTGCACATGTTAAATGAGACCATTTACCGCCGCCGCCTGCTATAGCCGCGTGAGTGTTGGAAAGCGTACGAGGCACGAGCGGTCCCCGCCTGCTAGCGTGTGGAAAGCGTACAAGGCACGAGCGTCAAACGGTCTTTGTGTGTTGTCGGTCGAGCGAGTGGCGGGTGTGGTCCGGGTGGTGCGGGCCCCCATGTGGGTGCACCGGGTGTCAGCGCGGAAAATGGGGTATTGGCATCGGCACGAGCGTCGAGCGGTCTCTGCGTGTCTCTACATATTTTCGGTCGGGCGAGCAGCGCGTGCAGTCCAGGTGGTGCAGGCCCCGTGTGAGCGCACCAGGTGTAGGCTCGAGAAACAGAGTACTGGCACCAGCGTCCGTCCGGACGTCCGGGCGCTAGCAATCCCCGATGAGGAAGTGACCGTGGTGAACAACCTGGGTGGTCATTAATCGCAATGGGTATGGTCTTAACTGCCGCATCTCTAGTTTATAATACCCCCCATAGAATTTTAATTTCTAACGACATTTTCACCATCCAACTCCAAGTCGCCAATCCTCTATACTTGCAAGTTGAAACAGGTGAAGCATCTGAATGCATGCTGTGGCAAACAGCCGACGACTAGAGCGACCAGTTTCGAAATAATGATTTATTAATCCTTATTGTTTTAATCTACACTAAACTATGTAAAAGAAGATTCCTCAAAGCGACCAGGTACACCGGGACACTCACCGGAGCTAAAATGCTGGGAGACATGTCCACCATCATGTAACATTGCCGAGTAATGAAGCCAACAAGTTGAGATAAACTTCTTCCGGTACCACTAAAGTACTCCTGGTCCTGGCAGTCCATCTGAGGCTTGCTTCCTGGGTGGCTGGGTCGGAAAAGGTGAATCTGGGGATTCTGGGGAACAGGCAATCCATCCGCCGGAGTAGATTCATATAAGAGTGATACCATGTAATTAAATTATGCATCCAATCAACCAACTGAACCTCCTAGCCAGGTTGCATTAGCAATCAACATAAATGTAAAACAGCAAATCACAAGTAATGCCATATATCTCCTAAAAACGTCTGGTAAAGCTTCATAAAGCTACAGAAAAACAAACTTCGAATAATGGGATGGAGTTAACCGAACATTCAAATGGAAACCGTCTGTGGCCCTAACAAGGCGTGTGAGTTGCTCCAAATGTTGCAGCAAGATAACCCTATACCAAAGCAGAGCATGCCAAAAATGGATGCACCACTAGATCAAAACTATGAAAATGTGGATCTTACAGCACACAATTAATAGCTCAGAACAACATTAGACAACAGACCTAGTAGCTTACAAACAACATCATTATACAATAAGGAAACAACCCTGTAAGGAAATGACTGTCTAACCGGGCGGTTGATAATCTCAACTAGTACAGTCTGCTAAATTCTAATGGCTCTCTAATTTATCATCACCAACGTATTTTCTAAACACAACTTGATATCCAGTGTCCATCATCTATGCTTGCATGAAGTGTTGAGGCACATGAATGCATGCTATGGCAAACAGGTGGAGATCAGAGCAACCAGTATCAGAATAACTATTTATGAAGTCCCATTAGTACTGTTCTACATGCAATTATGCAAATGCAGATCACAAAGTACCCAGGTGCACTGGAAATACTCACTGGAGCTCAACTGCTGGGAGACATGTCCACCATCATGTAACACTGCTGAATCATTGAGTCACCAAGTTGAGATAATCTTCTTCTGGAGCCATAATAAAGTAATCAGTTTGAAGCTTGCCTCCTGGATCTGGCAAGGTGAATCTAGTGGACAATGTCACCGCTTTAGCTTAGTATCTGGGTAACAGGTAGTACTAGATTAATACGGCGGCTATCCCATCAATTATTTATGCACCAAGTCAAACAGCTAAGCCTTAGGGCTAGGTTGCACTAGATATCATTATATTTGGCATTACTTGTGAAAAGGTGAATCACAAATAATGCGAAATATACCTTTAAACGTCATGTAACATGTAAGCTTAATAAAACTACAGAAAAGCAACCTTCCAATTGCTGGGATGGAGTTAAATTAACAATCAAATGGAAACCATCTGTGGTGCTGGTAACACGTGTGTTGCTCCAAATGCCGCAGCAAGATGAAACACCATACAGACATAAACTAGGTTTTTTGAACTTAGAGCACGCCAAAATTGATGTACAACTTGAACAACTAATACTACGAAAATGTGGATCTTATAGCAAACAATTAATAGCTCAGACAATCTGGTTTGCATGTTATAAAATGCACAATTGCAAATTGATATCTCAGCCATTGGTAGAGGATCCAATAAATCAAGTGAATACCATTTTTATTTTTGAAGATGGTGCAAACCAATTTACTAAATCAAATAGAATGGTATAGCATTTTTGTTATAAGTCAGCAACACTCTTTAAGTAATAAGAATGTCTAATATGACTATGCAGATGCCATTCATTCAAAGAATACATTTTGGCAAATCAATTTTGTTTGTAAAATATAAGTCAGCATCTTTGAATAGCGATTCAAGGAGAATCTGAAAAAGTGATTTTTGACTGTGCTATTCAGTTCAAAACAACACTGACATGCAGACAATACACAAACCTGTGTTGATAAAGCTCAACTGTAACACCATGTTGAGCTTCCTAACTTTGTTAAGTGTTAACACATATTCAGTTACCTCAGACCTGATTATTTTGTACAGTACATAGTTCTCCTTACCTGTGAAGTAGCCAGTTTCAGGTTTCATCACCAATGTTCCAGATCGATTACAATGCTGCAGCAAAAATAAAAGAATTCCATCGCATTCAAAAAAAAAAAAAAAAAAATCCTGAAAAGCACCAAAATGGTTGAAACATCCAAATCCGAAAGGTAATATAATTAACAGACTAACATTTTACTAAGAGAGGCGATTCTAACATACCTGAAATCTACTAATAAGCTGTAACTGGGTGCCACTGACAGTCTGACACCCACAAACTAACACAAATACAACAACGAGTTCTTTGATAACTTCGGAGAACGAGTATTCTCCTCATATTTGAAAAATATCTATTCTTGTACATCACCTCTTCAATGAAGGGAATAGTTCAGATGT